ATACAGCAGGAGAACTGCTCTATCTGTTCCACCCGATGACGGTCGCTTGTGTTGCGATCGAAACGTCGTGATTTAATTTACTTTATTTTATACCTACGTGACTTTTTACCGAATGAACCAAGGATAATTTATGTTAGTTGTTTGTCCTCTGTTCCAAAACACCCGTGGGGCGCTGCGCTTTTTTTAAATTTGTTTCAAATTTAGGGTTTGTTTCTGTTGCACTTGCTTTTGTGTGGCAGTATCCATTGTCGTGTCTCTGCTGTCAACGGTCCGGCATCGTTGCGTTGAATTTCACGGAATGTATCGCTGTTGGAATGTGTTCATCAAGCTCGCACATAAGACTGCTGTTGTTCTCCCCTCAAGCTCACCGCTGATGCCAGCACCAGAGAGCTCCCTCACACCGGGGTGGTTACTTTGGCAAGGGCAGACTGACAATTTGATAACATTCTTCCTTATACAGACTGCACTCTATTTTAATTTGTTTTTTCCCATTATTGATTGATAGCTCATTTCTTTAGAACTGCTTGTTATTGCGTTTAGGCTGTTGTCCTTCCCCCGCGCCTCCGATTAGCACGGTTGACTACGTGCGGTGCAAAATAAGTTCAACATACATGCACATTTTTCTTGGTTTTTTCGGTTTTGCAACTGCATAGGTTTTGTGCTATGGTGGTGCTGCTGCTGTGCGGCTCTCTGATTTTCTTGGGTGTTACCACGTAGCGTTGTTCAGAAGTGTGTTAGCGTCATACCGTGTAGCGTTGTTCAGTAGTGTGTTAGTGTCATAACATGTAGCATTGTTCAGAAGTGCGTTAGCGTCATACCGTGTGGCGTTGTTCAGAAGTGTGTTAGTGTCATACCGTGTAGCGTTGTTCAGAAGTGTGTTAGCGTCATACCGTGTAGCGTTGTTCAGAAGTGTGTTAGTGTCATACCGTGTAGCGTTGTTCAGAAGTGTGTTAGCGTCATACCGTGTAGCGTTGTTCAGAAGTGTGTTAGCGTCATACCGTGTAGCGTTGTTCAGAAGTGTGTTAGTCTCATACCGTGTAGCGTTGTTCAGAAGTGTGTTAGCGTCATACCGTGTAGCGTTGTTCAGAAGTGTGTTAGTGTAATATCACGTAGCGTTGTTCAGAAGTGTGTTAGCGTCATACCGTGTAGCGGTGTTCAGAAGTGTGTTAGTGTCATACCGTGTAGCGTTGTTCAGAAGTGTGTTAGCGTCATGCCGTGTAGCGTTGTTCAGAAGTGTGTTAGTCTCATACTGTGTAGCGTGGTTTAGAAGTGTGTTAGTGTAATATCACGTAGCGTTGTTCAGAAGTGTGTTAGTGTCGTACCGTGTAGCGTTATTTAGAAGTGTTTTTAGGTCGTACCGTGTAGCGTTATTTAGAAGTGTGTTTTGGTCGTACCGCGTAACGTTGTTAAGAACGATGTCCGACGTTTCGCTGCATATGCGTGGAACTTCCGGCATTGCTGGAATAGGATTTCACTGCTGGTTTTACGGTAAAATTAAAGTTAACATTTTCCAGTCACGTGTTTGGCAATTAAATATTGTTCACACTTTGTATTGCCTCGTTAAAATTAATCTGGACAATTAAATATAATTTTTCACTTTTTTTTCCAGCGATAACAATGTAATTGCAGTATGTCCATTGTGTGGGGTTTAGCGGTCGTTTTAACTGACGGCAATAAACCTGGTGTCCTGAGAGTAATTCCGGACCGTGGTTAAGATCAGTGGCGAGTGGCATCTGAGCAAGCCCTGGGATACCAACACGCGCTAACCGGTGTGGTTGAGTACGGTCAAATAATCTCCACGGCTGACACTACCAGAACAAAGAGACCTTCATTCGGTCGTGGATTCATCAAGGGGACCGTAATTACGTAGGCCAATCCGTTCCAAAGACAATGCATATATTATCAGACCACATTTGTTTGCCTGTTTTGCCACAAGTATGTGTCGTTAATGCAGACTTAATGCCTTGCAAAATATATATTTTTGGTCTTTGAACATCTGAACACCTCTTTTATTGCGAGATAAGGGTAAAACCTATTCTTATTTTTCATAATTTTTTATACTGGCAAAAAAAGGTATCCCATAGATATTATTTCTTTTGTTACTTTGATAAAAAAAAGAATAGCGATCGCAATGCGAATCCAATTTCCTTTTGCGGCGTCGCTTGTGGCGCATCGCGTCCGCACCGCACCGCACCGCATCACTGCAGCGTCCTCGCTGCCTTCCGTCAGTCGGACGACGGTGCTGATGCTCACCTCCTGCGTCGGGGGAGGGTGTCGTGCGGGTTGTTCGGTGTTCGCGAGTTCACCCCCCTGGACAAAGCGAGTCCATTCTTTCCGCGTCTCCTTAACTGAGCCGTCAAAACAAAGTGTGACGCGCGAGGTTTGGGGCGTGAGTGAGCGCAGGACGTTGACAGAGGGGAGACATCGCCATGATGACCGGTGGATGGGGGGAAATCCACTTATCTTCCGTAATGCATTTATGGGGAAATCTGGCTCCGCTGAAAGGTGGAACGCAAGGGTTCTCTGTTGTTCTCGTGTTGTGCGTGAGTGTTATGCTTTGTGTGAGAGTTGTGTGTGTGTGTGTGTGTCTGCAACGTGTGTGGGGTTTGCCTGATTGTGATTTCTGCGTGTCTGTATGAATGCATATGTGAGTGTGCGTGTGTATTAGCACGGCAATTGGGAGCAGTTAGCGTGCTACGCTACGACCCCATGCGACACCTGCGACCCGAGTTTGAATCCAGCTCATGGCCAACATCAGTGGCAATAATCTGAACCGCGCGTGGGCACTCGACTAAGTGGACTCGGCCTGTTAACATGGGCACTGGGGAGACACTGCATGTCGAAACCCGGTCCGGAGTTTTCCTGTCCTGAATAAATGCAACTGAAATGAGAAAATTATCCACTCCCGTGTGGCTAGTGGATTTGGCAAGAATAACTTTTTTCCGCGCTTGGAGAGATGGACATGTGAAGGAAACGTGCGTTGAACCCATCAACGCGGGCACCGCTGTTTACCCACGGTGCCTCACAAACGACATTCATTTCAATCCCCATTGAATTCCGATTTCTTCGCTCCATCTTTCCCGCGGCCATCCCGTTGCGCGTGCTGAGACGTCGTCACTTCACATTCGGGTTGGCCCGTGGTTGTTTTCCTCCAGACGAACGTGGCGCTGCGTAGAGCGACGACATCGTGTGGTTTTAAACCGTGGGTTTTTAAACTCGTGGGTTTTTAAACTCGTAGATTTTTAAACTCGTGGGTTCTTAAACTCGTGTGTTTTTAAACTCGTAGATTTTTAAACTCGTGGGTTCTTAAACTCGTGGGTTTTTAAACTCGTGTTTTTAAACTCGTGGGTTTTTAAACTCGTGTGTTTTTAAACTCGTAGATTTTTAAACTCGTGGGTTCTTAAACTCGTGTTTTTAAACTCGTAGATTTTTAAACTCGTGGGTTCTTAAACTCGTGTGTTTTTAAACTCGTAGATTTTTAAACTCGTGGGTTCTTAAACTCGTGTGTTTTTAAACTCGTAGATTTTTAAACTCGTGGGTTCTTAAACTCGTGGGTTTATAAACTCGTGTGTTTTTAAACTCGTGGGTTTTTAAACTCGTGGGTTTTTTTTAACCGCCTCCGCGTTCTCCACTCACTGCAGAGCTTCACTATTGGACTCCCGCGGCCGCCCAGATTAATATCACGACCCCCAAACAGGACGAGGAATTCCCCTCAAGTCCGGCCGTCGCCTGATCAGGCTGCGTGTAATTACCGGTGAAACGTTACTGTACTCGAATTGTAAATGTTGTAGTGGATTTACTCTACAACACACCGGTGTGCTTTGCTAGTAACTAATTGGCATGTTTTGTTTACGTGACAAACTTTTACTAGTTGGTGGTGGCGGGTTTAACGACACATATATATTCACGCGACCTAACCCAAAAAACCTTTATGACGGGTGACCCACCTGCGTCGCCAAAATGACAAATCGTGAAACAAGTTGCGTAAAGTGCAGCGATGGAGGCAAAATAGAAATGGGAGCAAAATCAGCGGCGCCACCGCGCGTCGTCCGGCGCGGTGTGCGACGGAACCTCCGACATGACGTCGGACGTCCGGACGAACGCGCGGTGCGATCCCGCTGAAAAATGCGCGAGAGACGGGGGCAAATGTAACTCTCCTTCGCTCTCGACCGAGCGAGCACCACTGCAGGCAAACGCAATCGTTCACACGCGGCGCGAACCTTAAATCGATCATCCCCGCGGCTTCTTCCGCGTCAACGTGATAACGGACGAGGCGTAATTGAGAAGGACCGTGGCGCGTCAATCCCGCGGTGTGCAAGACGCAACATTTGTGTGAATCGTAGATCAATCGAACCCGCGGCCATCGTGGGGGGGGGGGGGGGGGAGGGGGGGGGCGGGGGAGGCCGCCACGCGTTTGCTGGAGACGCGGGCGCAGGCAGGAGGCTGTTTGTTGCCCCTCGTGTGCGTTAATTCCACTTACTGTGTTTTAAGCCACGCTTTTTCACATTAGAATGGCCCTTTGATGTATTGAGCATGCAAAGTGACAGCCTCTCCATATGTCGGATTGATTTGATTTATTCGGTGCATATAATTGGGGTTCGTGCCTTAAGGGTGATTGTATTTTTTTGCACATTAGGTAGTAATAATAATAATGCGTGTTACCATACTTGCCTACAGTGCATATTTGCTCATGGCACAATGTAATTACGTTTGATTGCTGATGTGTGCATACGTGTGTGTGTGATTGCATTATGGGGAGCGGTCCCGCAGCGGTTAGCGTACCGTGCTACGAACTCTCGACAATCCACGTTCAATTTCCCGCTCGCGATGAACATCGTTGGCGAATTTTTGAACTGGCTTTGGTCCTTCGCTAGGTCAACTCAGCCTTAAGTTGGTACCTGGTGCGGCGTGTAACCATCAGCACTTGCCCCAACAGTATGTTCAGGCTATACGGAGGAGCTTTGTCTCTTTGTCTGTGTGTGTATGTGTGTCTCCATTAGTTGGGTCCCTCACGAGTCCTGCTCAAGCACTGGCACGGAGACCAGCTGGCCGAGATCTGCCACCAGCTGCAGCGGAAGGTGGTCGTCTGCCAGAAGGGTAGGGTGCTCTAACCCCTCGACGGCCACCGGGCAGCAGGGCGCAAGAGACAGAGATCCCCCATATAGCTTCAACAGGATGCCGGGGCAAGTCCGTGCTCAGCGCACGACGGGGTTGGTGGCCAGCGCCATGCTCGGCTGCTTTCCTCTCTCGTTTAAGACTAAGCCGACCTAGCGGAGAACCATGACTGGTTCAAATATTCACCACTGCCATTGAGCATGAGCGGGAATGGAGCTCGGGTCACCGAGTTCACGGTGCGGTGTGCTAACCACTACGTCACCACTGCCAACATGGCACTAACGCACACACGCTCACTGCACCTTCTCAGCGCTGGTCTCTCACGGGGATGTATACATATGTCTATGTACAGCAACTGCTGGATGAGCGTCTCACCACGCCGCATGGCTCGTGGGGTGTGTGTGACCACGCAGATCATCACGCACGCTGGGGGTTGCGGGGTAGTGGAGGCAGCGATCAGTAACTGGCCAACGGAAACAGAAACAAAGAAGACAGCAGAGAGAAAGACATAGCACCATATGAGGTGACAGCAGAGAGAAAGACATAGCACCAGATTAGAAGACAGCAAAGAGAAAGACTTGGCGCCATGGGGATATACCAATAACAGGAGCGGGGAAGGAGGGAAACGATCGGAAGAGTAAGTAAGCACATTTATCCACACGCGACTCTTGAAATCCGGGTTATCACGAGTGGCATGAGCTCATGCCAAGCGCACGCGCGGAATCGCTTCGCGGCAACAACTGGTGACCAGGATGCTGCAACATGCCAACCTCCGGGGCTTTACGAATTCAACTCCAACCTCAGCTCTGGGAAAAACAATGTTCCGTGAGAACATCGACCAAAGCCGTGAGCTTTTATGGCAATTTGTACGGATTTTTTTTTTTTATCTCATTACTGTTCATAATAAGAGCCCATTGTTTGTGATCTGGTGTATGAATGTATAAATAGATCACTCGCCACGCCACCATTGGCAAATTCTCAGATTGTCTCTGCACTCGAGCGCTTGCCAGGGCCAGATGTCCTCGTGCTTAAAACTGAGCCGGGGTCACTCGGAGCTCAGCTTGCACCCAGCACCACGGCGCATGCACGCAGACAAAGGCAGTCACGATGAAGATGATAATGATGTCTGAAATTTTGTTTAACACTTAAACTTCCGCGACCAATATTGCCCATGATAAAGGTAGATATTGTTGCCAATTCTGGCTGTCGCCCGATGAAGCTGGTTGCAATCACCAGCAAAACGTCACAGTACTCGAATTGTAAAATGTTGTGGATTTACTCTCCAACACACCGGTGTGCTGAAGTAGTAACTAATTGGCACGTTTTGTTTACGTGACGAGCCTTACTGATTGGTTGTGTCGCGTGGTGGCGAGTTTAACGGCAGATTTATATTTCCGCGATTTAACCTGAAAAAATCTTTTATTATGGATAATAACGTTCCCTCATTTTCCTTGCAAGGCCTCACTGAGACTCGCCACTTTTTCAAGGAAGGTCCTACTTTTAGACTGTTTGGCCGATTATACTAACGAGCATTTCACGTGTCAGAGGAAACGACGCAGTTTTTTTAGAAGACACACTTGTGCTAGGTGTGACACTTATGGAAGCAGGTGACATGGTAAAAGCGATACAAGAGTAATAAGGAAGCCACTGAATGTGAATGAGTGATTGGAGTGAATCGGGGAATATTTGAACGTCAGTAAACCAAACTGCTTTCGCGTTGGAACTCAACTCAGTTCGTGAACGCTCCATGGTTGATACAACAGCAATAATATACCGTTTTGCTGCTAGTCAACAGGAGTCGTTTAATCCAAGGCCTGGCCGCTTCCACGTCAATGGCCTTTCCACTCCTGACCCAAGGCCATCATTCGAGGCAAAACCATTGAGATGATTCCGTGAGGTTGTACGCCTGTACCCGGATCTGTGTTGTCCGGCACGATGTCCGACGTTTAGCTCCACGTGCTCGGAGTTTCTTTAGGAAATGAATTGAACGAGAAGCTCACAAGAGGCTCGCACGGCCGTGAAAACAAACGTAGTACGATAAGTAGTTAGCCAATAGTTAAACAGTGAAAACTCCCAGAGTAGTTTAGCCACTCGTTAAACTGTGAAAACCCCCAGAGTAGTTTAGCCACTCGTTAAACTGTGAAAACACACAGTAGTTTAGCCAACAGTTAAACTGTGAAAACACACAGTATTTAGTCACTCGTTAAACTGTGAAAACACACAGTAGTTTAGCCACTCGTTAAACTGTGAAAACACACAGTCGTTTAGCCAATAGTTAAACTGTGAAAACACACGGTATTTAGCCAACAGTTAAACTGTGAAAACACACGGTATTTAGCCAACAGTTAAACTCTGAAAACACACAGTAGTTTTGCCAACAGTTAAACTGTGAAATAACACAGTAGTTTAGCCAACAGTTAAACTGTGAAAACACACAGTATTTAGTCACTCGTTAAACTGTGAAAACACACAGTAGTTTAGCCAACAGTTAAACTGTGAAAACACACAGTAGTTTAGCCACTCGTTAAACTGTGAAAACACACAGTAGTTTAGCCAACAGTTAAACTGTGAAAACACACGGTAGTTTAGCCAACAGTTAAACTGTGAAAAAACACAGTAGTTTAGCCACTCGTTAAACTGCGAAAACACTCAGTAGTTTAGCCACTCGTTAAACTGTGAAAACACACAATAGTTTAGCCAACAGTTAAACTGTGAAAACACACAGTAGTTTAGCCAATAGTTAAACTGTGAAAACACGCAGTAGTTTAGCCACTCGTGAATCTGTGAAAACACACAATAGTTTAGCCAACAGTTAAACTGTGAAAACACACAGTAGTTTAGCCAATAGTTAAACTGTGAAAACACGCAGTAGTTTAGCCAATAGTTAAATGGTGGAAATCCACATGGTAGCTTAGCCAACAGTTAAACCGTGAAAACTCACGTCGTAGTTTAACCAATGGTAGTATTACCATTAAATAGTAGTTTAACCAATCCTATTTTTACTACTAATACTATTACTACCAAGTTCGAGATTTAGTGTCCAGTTTAACGGTGGGAAAATGGTATCAGCACTATGTGGCCCGGCTGCCAAGATGTCTGGGCATTCTGATTCTGGCGTCAGACGTTTCCTTGTGTTCCGTCTTCTCCCCTTCGTCCACGTGGAATCGGACCACGTGCCACCACTCTGCCAGGGGTGAGAGCAAAGGGGCAGCTGGTACAGCCGCACTGAGCCCCTGATCTCACTGCTCGCAGCTTAGCCGATCCCAGCCGGGGGACTTCTTATGCCAAAGTGTGGCATTACAAGCTCCCGGCTTTGCAATAGTCCAAACAAAAGAAACGAGTCGGTGATTTCCTGCTCGAATTAACATTTAGACGGTACATACTCATCTCCCGTTTCCTGCGCTGTGGCCCGAGAGAGGATATTCCACATTCTGATGACAGGGGGCAATTAATTCAACAGCATATTGACTTGCCCACAAAGTTGTACTAATTTTATTGACCCAGAGGGATGATGGGCTGAGTCAACCCCCCACCACACCAACCAGGATGTGAACTCGCAACCTTTGCGATTGCGAGCCGCCCGCTCTACCGTGGAACCATCGGGTCAGTGCACAAGGGGTGAAATGATAAATTATTGCGATTGAAGGTTGCATTGCAAGTACATGCTGGGCGTGCGTGCGTGTGTGTTGGCACGCTGCGTTATTAACCCAGTGACGATTATTTGAACCGGTCCTGGGCCTCCCCTAGGTCGATTCAGCCTCAAATTAGTACCTGGTGTGGTCTGTAAAATCGCTGCTAGGGAGACAAAGGCGGTCGGATGTGGTGCTGGCCACCCACCCCCTCGTGTACCATTTCGGCCTTCATATGTGCTCGCTAACAACACTTGCCCCTACAGTCTATTAAGGCTATACGGGGGATCTATGCCTTTGTTTTGTGTGAATAGAGCCGACCTAATGTGAACCTATTGAGCATTTAGGAATAGCGAGGAGGTCTGGTGTAGAACCGTTCTGCAAAGCTGTTTTGCTTTATTCCATTTACATTCACTTCGGCTCTCCGTAATTTTTCAATTTCAATTAGCAGATGAATGTTTTAGTCCGCGGTAATTTGCGCTGCCTTGAAGAGCGTCGACACCACATAGCCGTTGTGCGGTGGATGTGACGGGCGAGGTTGACGGGGGTGGGTGGGGGTGGTGCTGAATAACATTTTGGCATTCTGCGCCGCAGCTGAAGCTGGCGATGCTGAGATTGAGCCGCCCCTGCTGTCTTCGCGGCTCACGTGTGTAGATTATTTCCAGCACGAGCGTTTGTTGTGGGTGGGTGGGTGGGGGAAGGAGGTGATCGCTGGCCATCTGCCAAGCCGATGATCCATGTCACCCAGCATTGATTAGGACAGCGTTTGATGTATTAGTCAGTGGTATGCAACTAGGGCCCGTTGACCGACAACACGTTTTTTGAGAAGGAAAAAAATGTAACACAGGTCGACTGTACGTACTTGGTGCAGCGCATGAACCACTGCGCGAACGCTCCTCCGTCAAACACTTAGCCGATCGGGGTTGCCCATTTGTCGACACAATTGGGGACTTAATAAGTTTTCGATAGTTTTCGTCATACAGTGTTTTTGAGAATTCGTTATTGTAATTTTAAAGTTGAAGTATGCACAGATATATTTCAATACCAGAGCACGGTCCACATGCAGTCGCAATATTTGCTGTCGTCAATTTTGAATTGGTCAAATCCATATTTCAAATGTTTAACTTGCAGGATCGGTGTAAAAAAAATAATTGCTAAACTTAAATAATTCTTAACAGTTTAAGATTTGAATCGCGACACGTACATGTAAGCATATGTCGATACAAGCTATCGACAGCGTGTGCACCATGGAGGTAAAGGAGGCGTGCATGTGATGATACATTGGTGCACTGAGATCCCTGGATACATTGCGTCGTCTTATAAATGCAAATTATTATTTTGTGCGTATTATTT